TCAGTAGAAGTTTTGTTTCAATTAGATGGGATCAGTCTCAGGTCTGGGATTTGTTGCTAAGATTCCTATCTGGTTCACCGGTTCATCACACCAGCATGTCTGATGTCTGTAGGCAGCAAGGGGACTATTGATATATGCCAGTTGCATATTTTTCATGTTGTTTATCAATAAAGGCCAGACTATGAATGTGTTCCTTATGCAGAATGAGATGCAGGGCTGCACAGCCTCGGGAAAAAAATTACTTAGGAAAAGGGACTTAAAATCCCTCACTTTTTCCTTGTCTCTAAAGAGAACAGACATATTTTTATTTATGATATTTTACAAGGTGCAGCTGTCCTCTTCCAGCGTGCAGTCAGAGCTGCTCCTGAGCCCTCATGGGCAGGCAGGGAAGTGTGGTGGCCTCTGAGAATTTGGTGCTTTCCAGCAGAGAGACACCAGAGCTGGGTCACATCGGGGGAAGCGAGGAGCGCACACACCCTCCTGTGCTGGGCTGTAACAGCAGGGGGATGAATTACACGCTGCCTTTCAGCCTTGGAGTGATTCAGCGTCATGGAACTCCTGTCCCAGTAAGCACCTCTTAAAAGGACAATAAGCATGTTTGTTTGATGAACTGCTCAGTGTGCTCCTGAACTAACAGATAAGATCCGGTTTGTTTGTTCTCCCATTTCTGCCCATACTGCTGGACATCAGAGATTAAGACCCAGACATCTGTTTGTTTGTTTTTTACACCATGTTAGAAAAGTATGAAGAAAATGAAAACCTTTTTATAACTGATGGAAAAGTTGCATGTAATTTTCAAAGTGACAACTTACAGAAAGTATTGGAAGAATACTTATTTTGCAAACCTATTCTCAGAGTCAGAATTTATTACAAAATATGTGCCTTCAGTGGGTACAAAAGATCTTTCTTGAATTTGGAAAACCCCAGGATTTTGTAAGTGGATGAGAGACTCAAGGAGGTCTAGTTAAATGTTTTGTAAAAGTTATCACAGAATCAAAAAAAGTTTAAAAATTCATTTGGCATCCTCATTGCTGTTGTGTTTGCGGGGAATGTTGCATGCAAAACACTCCAGTCTTATCAAATCATTAACATTGATTCTAGTTTTAATGGGACCATTTGTTTTTCATTTGGAGACATTACCAAGCATTTTGACTAGTGTACATAGTTTGTAGTAAAAAGGCTTTTACATAGCAAAGTTTTTTACCTCATGAACAAATTATGCTCCTTCTTCTCATGAAGGATACGTGGCCTCACTCCAAAGAATTAAGTATTTAAAGACTAAAACAATTTCAAAGCTGACACAAATTATTTGGGGGAAAAAACCCTGTTCCTTAAAAAATATTTGGATAATAAAAGCAAACCCTTGTGAATGTAATAAATAGATTTTAATTAGGCATAATTGGATTTACTTATTGGTTGTACTCAGTCATGCTGGAATTCTTTCTCCTGATGCCTGTGTGCTCCACACTACTTAAGTATGATGTGAGATAATATGAAACGGTGAATTGACGGCACAAGGAAACTATTTGGACGGCTGTCTGGAGTTGCCATTATTGGCTTTAATTATGACTTGCTGTCCTTGGGGTACTCAATGAGCCAGAAAAGGCTTCATATGTGCCAAAGTATTCATTAGTATTCCCCTTTCTGTCATTGTGCTTGCAGAAAGACTTTATATCTGGCACCTGACTGCAGTTCCTCTTAGCATGGACTGAGATGCTTTGCAGATTTTGATAATCATCTGAAAGTACACCAGTGTCTCCACTTTTTGGATGCAGCAGAAGTTGTTCCTAGGTAACAGTGGAAGAACTCACACCACTTTCTGATGTAACTGGAGAACAAACAATTTTTGTGGTTGTTCACGTGACATGGCTGCTTAAAGAAAATGTTGTGGTACCAACTGGAGAATGAAAAATAGTTCCTTGTTTTTCTCTTCCAGGTTGGGGGACCTGCATGAGAGCTTCATGGGGAAGTCCTTGTATATATCAGCATTTTAGGCACCTTGCCATCATTCCATGTAGAACTAATAATGAAGTCCAAAAAACTTTCTGAAATAAAAATAGCCTTTGGAATCCATTTTGGTAATGAAAAATTGTCTGTAGTGAAGAATTTTGGATAGAATAGAATAGATTAATAGAATAGAATAGAATTAAATAGAATAGATTTTTTTTGGCTGCCATAGGGTATCCCTAGGGTAGGTACAAAACAGAGTAATCACTCCTAAAGAATACTCCGCAAACTGTTCTGACACTTTGCTGTAGAGGCTGTGCTAAGAGTGGTGACCACTCCTTTGGCATCTGCTCTTGAACAGACTGGTGGACAAGGATGAATTCCTGCTCCAATACATATTTACCATTGCAAAACTTAATTTTAATTTAGAACCTTGTTTGAACTTCAAGTCATGTTTTTAGCAGCCTTTGAAATACTGTCCTGTGGGACTCCAGACTGTTCTTAGAAACTAATATTTTAACTAAGGTGGTGTGTAAACAGATACTCCTGATTTTGGAGGCATTTGATGACATCTTCCACTTCTCATCTGACACATTGCAGCATAAGCTGGCTTTGACCTAAGTACAGAGTTCTTCTTGAACTTCTACTATAATAGGAGGATGCTCTCTTTCATGTGCTGTTTCACAGTCTTGTTCTTCCTGAAACCCCAAATCCTTACACTTGTCAGAGATTTTAATCTAAATCATGGATGAACTTCAGCCACTATTTAAGCATTCATGCCCAACATTTTGCTTTATGGGATGAAGTGAAAAGATGCGTCCCCAGGGTTTGTCAGTATCGTCTCCTGCTTGGGCAGGAGGAAGAGCTTTCACCTGGGCAGCTTACACCTGGGGCTGGTGCAGAAATGGATAGGAGAGGATGCTGTCTTGATGTATTCTACCCCTTATAAACCCATTCCCTGAAACCTAGAACTGAGGCTGGGGTATGGGAAAGAGTCCCTGCCTGCCATTCTCCTCCTGCTCTGCCATTCTCCTCTAGCTTATCTAGCCTAGGTTAGCCAAAATCCACTGACATCATGTTTCCAGGGTTTCCTTGGCTGCTCTTTACACTCAAAGAGTGTGCCATCTTTGGGCTGCTCACTACTTTCGGACATCTCTCCTTCAGCAGTGTCTGTGCTTTAAAACACATGGTTTCAAAGTTTGGGTTCAAAGAATGGAGGGAACTAAAAAAACCCCAATCTTTCTTTTCTTTGGTTGCTGTTTATTGCAGAGAGTTTTGCTTCTCCTTAGAGGTGCTGCAGGTGGTGCTCTTGGTCCTTCCAAACACAAGTTGCACTTCCTAAACTCCAGTCAGGTCAGAATTGTGCCATCCTGCACCAGCTGGCTGGTTTGAGGCCTGTCTGGTTCTGGGCAGGGTCTTTGAGCTTTGAGTGAAGTGTTTTCCATCAGTGAAAAAGAAAGGAGGGAAGAAAAGGTACTCTACGTGGGGTTTTGGCAGGAAATGAAGAAAAGATCGATGCAAACAAATGAACTAGTTGGCAAGTACATACTTAACCACACTGTAGCCCAATCCAGCCTTCTGTCCCAAATTTAGATGGTAAAAGTACTAATTGTGGAACTTACAGGGAAAACGTTGTAGCTATTAAATGGGATGGTTCTGTTGCCATTGTCTTCTTGTGCTGTGTACATTGAGTAGGATCACACTTTCGCCTACATGTTGTAATTTCTCAGTGCAAGCACCACAGAACTTGTAACAGCAACAATTCTAATTTCCAGGTTCCACTTGCTTGTTTCTCAGCTGGCAGCTATACCTTGTCCATGCATTTTGCCATCCCTTACATCTTGCAAAATCTGGATCAGAAGGCCAAGGGCAGGAGACAGCTGTTTTCTTCCAGCTCTTAACAAACAGGTAATTAAAACTGGCAAAGTGTCATTATCTTTTATTTTCTTTCTTTTTTAAATAATGTTTCAAGTGGAAAACCCACCTCTCAGGATTTCAAAAATCTTAGTTTAAAGTGTTTAGAAAGTAACTAAAAACAGGCAATTCTGAGCAGAACTTAAAGTTTGGAAAGAAAAATCGTGATTACATGCCAAGTATCTCATCAAAAGATCCCTACCCAAGATTTTTGCCGCGGTTTCCTGGAAAGGTGTCGTTGCCAGTTCTTTTCAATTTTTCTTGTAAATATATGTTCTTGAGGAATTTAATATTAGATTTTAAAAAATTAAATCCCCACTTCATTTATTATAAAGGCATTGAGTTCTGCTGTTCCCCAGTCCTCTCCTCTATATGTTAACCATGAGATATGGTGAAATAGAGGAAATGCTTCATTTCACTCAAGTTATTCAAATACACTTGTTTAGGTTTTAGGTTTGTTTTCTTGGAGTGCAAGGAGTAGACACCAGTAGATGGTGCTGGTGGTGCATTAATAAGGTTCAGTTTCACATTTGTTTTCTGGTCTGTATCTGGAATTTGTTAAAAAAAAAAAAAAGAGAGAGAGAGAGAGAGAGAGAACAAAACAAAACAACAAAAAAGAACAAAACAACAAAATCCCTCATGCTAAGCTTTTATCCAAAATGTTCTCCCCACACTGAACCGGTCACCGTTTAACTTTAACCTGAACTGTGGCCCAGGAAATCCTTCAACATAAATAACCTTGGAAGCTGCCATGACCATTTTTGGAATGTGCTGCCTCAATAAATCTGTTACTTTGTTGTGCAATGTTGAAGTGTGCAGTTGTTTCTCTGATTAATTAGGGCAAAAAATAAACTTGCACGATCAATCCAAGCTGTGACACGTTTCAGCCCTGGCTTGAACGTGGGCAGAAAAGAGCCTTAGAGCCTTCTCCACAGACCTGCCCTGGAATTTTAGGATACGTTTCTGGCTCGGAGTTTACTCCATTTGATGAGATAAGGTGGCTGCTAACAAAGTTTGCAAGGGAAGAGTTTTGGTGTGTCCCAGGACTGCCATTCTAGCTTAACATGAGTAGGGCTGAACACAGTGAGAAATGATTCATCTTGACCACTGCCCCCACTAAAGACAACATAACTGAAGTGTTTTATATAATTGTGTTTATTTTATTTCACATATTACCCATGGAGAACAGCTGATACATTCTCTATATCTTTCACCAGTCTGGAATGCAAGATAAAAAAAGGTATGGAAAAAGAGTTTAACATTTGACATTCACGATATGAAAAATAGAGGGGATACAATGTTTTAAAATGCCCTTATGCAATATATATATATATATACATATATATATATATATATATAAACCGTATAAAAATAAAATATATTTTTTCAAAGAAAAAAAAAAAAAAAAGACATGGCACAGAACAATCTTAAATACCAATGCATATCTCGTGATCCACACACACCGCACTTATAATTAACAAAAACCACGTACAATTGCACTTTTCCTCTCTGTGACGTTCAAGTATATCGCAGTCCCCGCAGGGACTGAAGAGTGTCCGATTCCCTGCCGGGTGCACATAACGCAGAGGGTAGAGCAGAAGTGGGCGGCCTGTCCTTGCCCACGGCTGACGCGCACCCTCCAACCCTCGGGGGCAGAGGGCGAGGCCGGGGCCCGTCGCCCACCGGCGGGTCCCCCCCTGAGCATCCCCTCCTCGGGGCTGCGGGGCGCGGGAGGGCGGCCAGGGCCGCCCGGCCCCCCGGGAGCAGCGGCGGCGCCTTCGCGTCGCGGGCGGCGGCGGCTGCGGGAGCCGGCGGTGCCCGGCCCGGGGAGGGCCAGAGTCCGTGGCGGGCGGGGGGCGCAGCGTCCGCTGTCCTTCTCAGCTCCCCCGGAGGGCGCGCCGGGGTCCCGCCCGGGCAGGCGCTCTCCGCGAATCCTGGCGGATCTCAGCCCGTGCCTCAGTCCATCCGTCGAGGCGGCCTCGGCCGGGTCTTGCGGCGCTTCAGACTCCGAGGAAGGCGGCCAGGGGCTGCGCCCGGCGCGCCCGTGGGCGCCGCCCGGAGCTGGGGGAGCGCACCGGGCTGCGGCGCTCGGGCAGGGAACGCCGCCGGCGGCCGTAGCCCTGGGGGCTGATCTTGTTTGGGGGGGCGGCATCGTTCCTATCGTTGACGGCCGCCCTGTGGAGCTCGTCGACCAGCCAATGCACCGTGCACGTCCCGAAGCGGCACGCCTTTGTTTGGAAGTGGGGGAATCTGTTAATGCTCTGGCGGTAGCGCTTGACGCGGATGTGAGCATCCTCCCGGTTGCTGCAGGAAGAGAGAGAGCGGGCATGAGAAGAGCGCAGGGGGGGCCCGGAGGGGGGGACCTGGTGGGCGAGGGAACGGGAGGGTCTGCAGGGCAGGGGGCCCCCAGGCTGGAGAGGGGCGCGTCCCGACGGTGCCCAGCTGCCCCCCAGCAGTCCCGGCTGTGCCCTCCGCGGCAGCGCGGAGCAGAGCCTGCTGCCCATGCGAGGAGAGGCCCCGCCGGTTTACGGCTGTTACTTTTTCCTATGCTTCCAGGGCTCAAGTTACTATTTATATCTGACTTTCGCAGCAAAGGCGCTACTATCTCCCGCCAGCTGAAGAGCGCGGGGAAAGGAAGGCGGGAGGCTGCTTTCAGCGCGATGGGCAGCCCGGGCAGGACCTGCCTCTGGGGCGGGGAGGATCGACAGCGAGAATAACCCTGAACACCCGGAAACCAGGGGACCCCGAAACTTTCCACTGCCCCGAACAAGTGCCCGAGCCCAGGAAGGGCTGGAATTTACCTGGGAGGCGAGACTCGGGAATCCTCCTTCACGTCCTGGGTGCGTATGAGAGGCAGCACGTCGGCGGCTGCCCCCAGCCCTCGGAGCAAGCCCGCAGGCTTCACGTCCCGCTTGGCTCGGCTTAGTGCCCATTTCGTCCATCTGAAAGAGCACAAGGGAAGAAGAGAGCCTGTTATCGCAAGTCTGCAGGGCGGGAGCCAAACCAAATAGATTCGAGGGGCGAAAATCTTTGCCAGCGCCGTTTTTTTTTTTTTTTCTCCTCCCCCCAGTGTTTCCTGAAAGGGCACGAGGCCTTTAAGGAGCTGAGTAATTCCTGCAGGGAATCCAGTGCCTCTGACCGCTGCCGGAGCCAGGCGCGGGGGCTCGGCAGCTCCACGCGCGGCGCGGGGCGCTGGCAGAAGGGCGCGCTCCGATACTTACTTTCTTTTGAACTCTGTCGCTACGTCCACTCTTGCAGCATCCACCCCGAAGAAGGCCACAGAGCCGAGATAGAGCAGGGCTACGTGAACTAGTTTCATTCTGGCTGGGCTCCTGCTGGAAGGAAAAGAGAACTATAAGCATGCTTGCTAATAAAAGTCAAGTAAGGACTGTCCTTTATTCCTGGTGATTCCAGAGAGCTCCTTCCCTCGCAGAGCCCCCAGGCTACCGGGGACTTTGTGTCTGATATGAACCAGAAGCTAATATTTGCTCAACAACTTATCACAGAGTAAATAACAGAGCCTCCAAAGTTTACGTTTGTCGAGAGTTTAGTTGCAGAGGCGGCTGAAAACCAGCAGGATTTCCAGAATACCCCCAGCGGCTTGCACTAGGATTTAGCAAACCCATAAGATCAGAGGGAGCTGGCTATCGGACGCATCGTTTCCAAACTCCAGCAAGTGTTTTGCTGCCGGGAAGTTTATTCCCTGATAGCTCCTCTTCCCACTTCACACGCAGAACCAGCTAGTTCTGGATCTTATGTTGTAAACTGCAGCTGATGCCAAGAGCCAGTGCAAGACTCCACAGCATAACTCCAAACTCTTCAAGACAGTCCAAATTTAGTAGAGTTTTACTTGCGTTCCACCTCCCCTGAATCTTTTGTTGCTGCCAAGGACGGAAAGAAAAAAAATAGTTCTTACCTGACAGTGAGGATAATCCACTGAGACAAATGTTTTTGTAGTAGCGATCCGAGCTTGCAGGGTTTCCTGAGGAGCGAGAACTCCTCCTTTGTGTGTGTGTGTGTGAAGTAATCACTGCCGAGCTCTGCGCTCCACTGCTCGCTTTTATAGAGCAGCGCTGAGAAGTGGGTGGACCTTGGCGTGGCTGGGCGATCTCTCCTTTGGCACCCCCCCACCCCCACATTTCAAGCACTCCTTAAGCATTCTGACCTGGATTGGGGGCAACATTGGGGGGGGGGGGCAATAAGAGGGTTATTGAAAATTATCTTAAACAACTCCCTTGGTATTTTGTTAATTATAACGGCAGCTTTTGGGATTCTGAGTCATGGCACAACTTTCAAAATCCGATGAGCCCCTCAGCCTGTTTTACTGGGGACAGACGTTTTAACCGCCGGAATACAATTATATTTATGTTGTCTGTAGAATAATTTCTCCTTCTAGACATATTAGCTTCAGGTGGGTGAAAGCAGGCGAGTGGAAACCAGATTCAATCCATTCCAAAATCCATGAAAACCCATCAAATATCAAAGTTCAAAAATAAACCCATATTTGGACAATGTGAATTTATAATGAGTAACTGGAATGACAGCCTTCTTTACAAAAGTAATGAGGTGGCAAATCGGGCATCATGAATATTTATAACCTAACTTGGGTGCATTTTTTATCTAACAAAATGAATTTGATTTACTTGATCGATTCAAGTAGATCACGATTCAAATGGTTTTGGCAAGTGAAGGTCAGAGCCCAGTTCTCTGCCTCGGTACAGAGCAAGTGGCATTGCTTTGGGGCAAACACGGAGTCACTGGAACGCCTGGGGTTACAAGCGCCGGGAAGATCCGCCGTGCCTTGTGCTGTTCCCAATCCGCAAACCTCACGGGTGTGAGTGCAGTTACTTCCCGGTCAGAAAGCTGAACCAGTGCAGGATCGGGATCTCTAACAGCATTTTCTCGGCTGGCCAGCAGCAAAACCTTAGTCTGACCACCTTGTTGTTAGGTTTTTTACAGTCTTTAACGTCTTTGCTCCGTGGCGCTTCAGAAACGCAGAGGTCCGGCTTCGCAGGGGGTGCTGGAAGCCAGCAGCGGATGCACCGTGTCTCCGCTAACTTGTCGCAGTGCAAATTCGGCGGCACCGAGGGAAATGCCCCAGGAGATCTGCGCCCTGGGGCGCCAGGGTCCCCGGGCCAGCGAGAGACACTCGGCAGGAAGGAATGAGCTGGTGAGATGTTTCTCTCGCATCTTGCCCCAAGCAAAGTGTTTCAAAAGTCAGGTGAGTGAGTGTGTGCTCGTGACTCTGTGCCTTTCTAGATAACCGCGGTGTGTAACAACACCCCGGAGTGGTATGTGCAGGGGGATGACGGAAACTTTCCTGTGCGCGGCTCACTCGGTCTAAGGTGCTCTCTCCCTCCCTCCCTCCCCCCGCTCTCCAGCAGCGTCCAGACATCTGGAGCCTTCTGTCTCCGGCATCTACCTGTGCGGGACAGGCTGGCCCGGGAGCTGCCACCCCCCGGCCGGCGGGGAGGGCCAGCGCTGCCTGTCGCTGCTCCCCATCGCATCAGCCGGCCGCTCCTCTGCCCCGAGCCCCGTACGCGGCTCCGCGGGGCGAGGCCGTTCCCCCGGCCCGGAGCCGCTGCCCGCCGCACCTGCCCGGCCGAGCGCGGGGCGGGAGGCGGCGGCGGCCCCGGAGCGCCGGCAGCCAGCGGGGCTGCCCCGGGCTCAGCCCCGTCCCTCCCGCCCGCAGCTCCGCCGAGCCGCAGCCCCGCTGCTCCGGAGCACAAACGGGAAAAGCGAGAGGCTTGGGGCGGGGGAAACACAGGGAGGAAGAGATAGGAAAATAAGTGGTCTAGAACGGGACCGTATCATGACCGGAGCTGCACGGCTGCATCAGCCCGCGATGGCTGGATTTTAGAGACCTCATGAGGCAGCTCCAGCTCGTGCGAGTTCAAGCATTTCCTTGATTAGCAGAAGTTGAAACTGAATCTAACTTTTTCCGAATGAGAAGGCAGGATTTTATGTGATAAGCATTGCTTTGACTCAAATTAAGTCTCCCATTCCAGTAAAAAAAAAAAAAAAAAAAAAAAAAAAGTCACACATTTCCTCAAATGCTGGAAAATCCCTTATTAAAATCTTTGGCTTAAACGGGAAGTGTGTTTTATACACTCTAAGTCAAACAATGCAGAAAAAAATGCTATGTTGATTTAGGAATAGCAATAAGAGTAGTAACACAACTCATGTTTCTTCCATACTGACTGTAACTATCATCTCAGTGATACAAAATTACTTCATGCAAATTTATGAGGTGGCAAACTCTGACACATAAATGATCAGTTTGTTGCTGATGTGATTTCTGAAAGGGCGTCAGCAGGTAAAGCTGGTTCAAATCTACCACAAAACATCATGTTCTTTGTTCAGATGCTCATTTTGTTCTTTCTATGAACTTGCATTCTCAGGCAGTTTGGGAATGAGCAATAGTCACTGAATTGGTACTGTGATGTAACAGTGACCAATTTTAAAAAAAAATTATTATTTCCTTTAAAAAGGAAATTGTTATTTCCTTTAAAAAAAAACACAAAAAACCCCAAAGAAACAACAACAACAACAAAAAAACCCAGTTCCACAGAATGTTCCATAGCAATATCATTCACAAGCTGAGTCTGAGGCAATGCCAAGCAGTTCAGCAAGACCAGTGTGTGATGTGAAGTGCAGGGTGTCCTGGATGCTGCCTCATCCATGGTGGGAAGCTGGCCTGGAGGAGCAGCCAGCTCCTTTTTACTGCTTATCCTGAGTGTACCATTCAGCCTCTTGGTGCTCTCATACCAAAGACCCTACAACAAGTATCTGCTCTGGCATGCCATGGTGAAGATGAGTTGCTGTTTATAGAGCATTTTATTCAGGCTGAGATTTATTTGAAAAGAAAAGGTCTAAAATCTGTGGGTAGCAATGGGGAATCAGTGTGAGTCAAATATTCGGTGCTGATTATGGAAGAAAACTGTTGTTTGAAGCCAGTGGAAGTGCCTTTGCATGTTTCACTTTGTTTAAACAAATTGTTCTGAATTCATATGCCATGAGTATGAATAGACTTGATTGTATTTCAGGCTGCGTGAAATCAGCAGAAAGATAATACTAATAGAAGAATGGCACCCCCTGAAGGATCTAAAACCTCAGTCAAGCTCCACACAGAAAAACCTCACTGCCAGTGCCTGCACTCAGCCAGTTCTCTCTGTGCCAAGAGCACAGTGACAAAGGGCTAATTCCATTTCGGTAGTCCTGCTGGAGGTGCTTTGGTGTGCCTTTTGTCTGACAGGTTTGAGTACACCAAACAAAGCCTCCGAAGTGAGTAGGGGATGACTATTAGTAGGGGAAATCTGGTCAGGGTCATGGCTGCCCCCTGTTCTGGCATGGGTTGGGGTGGCACTGGATAGAGACTGCAGGGAGAGTGTGAATTCCCTGTTTCCTGAAGGAGGAGTGAACTGTAGAAGGTATTGTGGACGTTCGCACCTTGTTGTTGGCAAGTGCACCATGTGAGTGTGGCAACATTGTCCCCTGAGTGCTTTCAGGCTCTTGGTGAGGCTGTAGCCGTGCAATTCTTCCCCTGGAGAAAGCACATGACTAGGTGCTTGTGGAGACCTGTGCCTTGGTGTCCTCTGTGAGCCCCTGCTCCTCCTGTGAGGAGCTAGGCTACCCTGCTGGAAGTGAGGGAATTAAGGATGGGTGGTCTGGATGAGCATTCAGTTTCACTCTTCATTAGAATTTAGGTGAACAAACACTGTGTCTGCTCCACTTCTTCATTTGTCTTATAAGAACGTAAGACTGTGCTATACTTAAGGGAAGTTGCCCAGAGAAGTTGTGGATGCCACATCCCTGGAAGTGTTTGTGGTGTGGTTGGATGGGTCTGAGCAACCTGGTCTAGTGGCATGTGTCCCTGCCTGTAGCAGGGGGGTTGGAACAGGATGATCTTTAAGATCCCTCCTGACTCAAACCATTCTGTGATTCTGTGAAATAAATAAGCTCAACTGAACTCCCTATTTCTTCTTTAAGATGTGCCACTTATAAACTTTATAAACTTTGGCTGTACTGATCTAGATGGCAAAAGGAGCAAGGCTGTAAAGTGAGCACTAGCATTATTGGGAAATCACTAAATAAACACCTTGCTCTTGAACCAGCATTATAAGTGCTCTGGGAAAGGTGTGAGTGATTCTCTCGTGCTAGAGGAGCTGTGTTAGAAGAGCAGTGAGGTTTTACTATTGAGAATTGTTATTGCATATTGACTCTTTTTATGAGTGCAGATATGATAACTCTAAGGTCCCATTTCAGATCCAAATTAGATAATTTCTTAGTGTCTTTAAATTCTCCCTTCAGGTTTAGCTGTACAGAACATGATCCTTTGCTATTGTGAACTGTTGTTATGTCCTGCAACCAAAACGTCTGATCAAAGATATCCCTACCTAACTCTTAAAGTGACTGACCCCACAAAGTGCATCTCTTTCTCAGAAAGTACGGTCAATCTTTTTGATGTATATATTACACATTTTTCTTTACTCCTAAACAAGGAAATGTATTAGGATTGGATCCTTACACATGTCATTTGCTCCAAAACAGCTAAATCACGAAGCTGATGATTCCGAGGAGATGTCAACCTCTGCCCTCCACTGAGAAGGCACAAGCGGAACACTGCTTGAAGCTTCCTGACCAGTTTGCATCTGGCTTATCAGCACGACACTGCATCACTATGTCCCAGGAAAGAGGTGTAAGAACGGCTTGTTAGAAGCAGAAATATCTCTGAGACCGCTAATGACTGTCTGCTGGGTCCCTCGTCAGGATGGATCGTCAGGAGCGAATCCAGTTTGCTGCATTTCCACACCCAGCTCGATACCCACGACTGCTCCTCGCTGCAATGCAACCCATGTTCTCCGCGCTGCTTCTTCTCTCTGCGCTGTCAAACACAGAAGCTTATCAGAGTGATTTCTGCAGTCTCTCCAGCTACCCAAGCGCTGTACTGTCCGCTCGTTTATCCTCAGCATCTCCGTGACTGCTGGCAAAGTCCACCGTGCTTTCGAGGGCCACGGTCCAAAAGGTGCCTGCCTCATCTGCACGTTATAAATAGCACCACGGCAGCGC